TTAAAACCTATGAGTGCCAAGGACGTTTCTCTATTACCGTAAGTGAAGCGCCAGTAGGTAACACATACGTACGCCTGTTCTCCACCATCAGCAAATATGTGTAGCTGGACGTCTGAAAATGTTGGCTGACTCATGTAATGTCGTGGAATACTATAATTTGACGTGGTTTCTCGGAAACGGAAAAGAATATCTAGCAATGTTTGTAGCAATTGTGGCCCTTTTAACAATTAACTATTGAGACATACACCTCTAGTCTTTGCTGCTGCGTCATGTACCACCCGTAGCTTACATTTTTGTGGATGCACCACACCAAATGTTGGCAAGTACCATCTAATGGAGTCACAGAATAAAATTCGTGGTAGATATCTGCCTCACATTCTTCGGCGTAACCCTTCTCAATTATGCCGGTAATTTAGGCTTCATAACCAGATTTAAAGGCTGAATCTTTTAACAGCTGTCTCTCAAGAGACATGAATCGTGACCATGCTCAAAAGTATGAGTCCAGCAGGGGTTTCGGTATGTTATTACGATATGGTAACCTCACTTCAAATCGACCAGTATCAAGTCTTCGAGTTGATGTTCTAATGATGTCGAGTGCGCGTTAATCTTCGACATTTTCTTTTGGTAATTTCTTGCTAATGCCTAAAGAATCAATCTCGTACTGTCGTTTAATTAAATTTTCCAACTCGTCGTATTAGCGTTGCATAAACTCTTCAGTAGAATTTTTTCGAGGTTCGTATTCGTCGTCGCTGTTCCAGTAGTCGTTTGTGGCGTTGACGAAGTCGATAGGTTTGGATGACGTCGAAATTACACCGTTTAACACCCAACTCAATAAGGTGCGTAAGGCGACGGGTTCATTCTTTTTGCCTACTCGGGTATCTCGACTCAATGATAAGTCCCAACTGGAAGCACCAATAAGTACAGTCAGGCTCACGTCATTAGTTGACAACTCCTCGCAAAGATCAGCGAGGTGCTCGAACTCATTAAAGCTAATTTTACCTATACTTTATGATTGTAATCCAAGCGGCGTTATAGCCCGAGCGTTTTCTATAAAATAACGTTTTGATTGGTTTCGTCCCCTTATATAAAAGTTAACGTAACTGGCGTTTAACTCTTTGTACATTTTGCCGACACCTTCTATGCGTAGGCGGCTTGGGCACGCTGACGTGCTAGCTCCTATATGCGCGGCCACGTCACAATCAATTAGTGTGCCAGTACTACCTTCGTCAAGGAGGGCAGTCGTAGTCAATTGACCTTTGGGTCCCTCTATCACTACAGGTAGAACTTTCAGAATACCTCGTGAAAGAGCTCTCCGTCGTAGCAGTTCTGTAGTATTGAAAGGAGTATCTGTAACATTTGCCAATTGAATATTAGACTGGTCTATGGTGACATGTGTGGAATCTAAATTCATTATGGCAACTTTTTGTTTTGATATAGAACCTTCTTGAGTATTTCTGTCAAGTTATGAAGGAGTTTCTCCTGCGCCATGGAGAAGAGAGTGATGACGCTGCGTGCAGCTACTGTTACCACAAGATTTTGCTCGACAAAAATTCCATCGATGTGGATTTGACTTTAGGCGTCTATAGCAAATTTTAAATTGCCGTATCCACTACCAACGATTGTCAATGGTAAGAAGTTGAAATGCTTTGCACTTTACGAAGGAGTGTGAACCTTCCTTACAATAGATACACTATATGTCATCACTCTTTGAAACCGTAGCGTGTACGGTTTCCTTTATTACCGGTCTAGGACAACTTAACTTATTTTAAGGGTTAGCGATTACTGACTCGGGTTCAAAATTATATTTTAATTGTCGGTCCGCTTCCTCTAATAAAAAATTTGATAACAACAGCAATCGCGGTGTCTCGTGAGGTGTCTGCGCAGCCATGTAGTTGGTAAATCGACTACGGATATGTTCACTTAATTTAAGTAAAATGATACGAAAGAGTTCTGGCGAGTAAAGATGTTCGTAGTGTCGCAGATACTTAATGATTGACACTAAGTTGCGTAATTTATTAGCTAACATATTTAAATGCTCTGTGCTACTTATCTTTATATTTCGGAGTGCTCCGATCTCTCGTACCACCAAAATCTCCGGCTGAGCGAAGTTCTGTTCCAACGTACGTCGTCTGGATTGCTTGAGTCCCATAAGAGCGACGCCACCGCTTGATATGCTGGGCCACGAATAGCGTTGCGCAAACGTACCAAATTCTCAGCTGGGGAAAAAAGTTTTTCGTTTTATCATAACTAGACTTAAAGGTCATCCATTGACTGATGTCACCTGAGAATACAACTATCTCGGGCCTATTGGGCCGCACGGAATCATCCATGATAGCTTTTGTGAGCTGTGACACTGAGTCGACGTTATTGTTATTCGGTGGTAGTACGGCACCAGTTGTGAGTTGGATTGGCATAGAGAAGTTCGCGTTTACTATCGGAATAGGCATCGCTGAGAAAGCCGGCCGTGGTAGGGTGCCCAGCGGCTTGTGCTGGGTGACAGTCAGTGGTGGCGACACTTCAATCAACTTTTCCAATGGTGGTTGCAGCATCAAAACCGTTGGAAGCATCGACTGTTGAACAGTATGATGACTGTTGGCTTCCGATTGCCAGTCCGGGGTTGAACGTGCCACACCGCATGGTAAGTTTGCGCCTACGAAGAATGTGTCATGGTATGATCTAACCCAAGACTGTGTACGTCTAGCTGATGTGTGGGATTAATTAAATTTAATACCGAATAACCTCTACAGTACAAAAAAAACCTTTGTTAGCGAATTTTTGAACTTAATAGGTGCCAAATATTTAAAATATTATTTTGTGTGAAAAAGTAACAAACATAGTTCGATCCTCACAAACTTACGCATTGATAATATAAAAAGGAATTCTGATAGCGGTATGTGCTTCTTAAGCATACATTAATGGACACTCACTAGAAGCAAAAGTAATAAATGCTTGGGAGACCAAAAGTAATATCTCGTTGGTTATAGCCGACGCCTGGATTGCGAAAGTTTGTGGGACGAATCAAACGATCACCTGAAAGCTCATAATTTTTTTGAGCATTTTTCTACAGTAGGATAATTATAAAGCTGAATTACCAGTGTGAAATTGGAACACTGAGTGGAATTATCACAGCACAGCCACCTACACCAACATTACTCTGAAAAAAAAGGCTTTGTAATTTTCTTCCAATGGCCACTAAACTGCGCCGACACAAACTTTATTTCCCATTTTACATTATGCCGATGTCAGCTATCTAGATCTCACCGAAGAGTCATTAAATAAATTCGAGCGGCTCCAGAACTTTTGTATTAGATTAAATATAAATCTTTACGCAAATGTGATCACGTAGATCAAGTCAATACCAATTCCTCTTCGCCGGAATGTATACATTGTTTCCCTTCTTTACAGTGTTCTGTTTAATACTTATTCACCAACTTATCTTAAGGAACGTTTGAAATTCCTTCATAATACGCACGCTGGAGTTCTGAGGTCATCAGAGAACTTGAAGTTATCAATACCAATGCATGCCAGTAAATTCATTGGTAAATCGTTTACAATCCAATATGCACGTCTTTTGAATGCATTGCCAGAAAATATCAGGCGTGCTCAAAGCTACACATTTTTATAGGACTAGTCAAAAAGCACTATCTGTCACTCACTTGGAATCCCGATTCATATTCGTAGATAGTAGATATATATATTATAGTATTTGTTATTTTGTCTATGTAATTACATTATTATATTTAGTTAATTCAATCAATAAATTTATGATATTATAATAAAATTTTGAGACACCCATAAGCTACCCCAATCGAAATATAATATTGTCCAGTTCGCAAGGTTGCCTGGGAAGAATACTTTTTAATAATAAGGCTGCCAATTGTGCATTTAAATTTATTGTATCAATATGTTTTTGTCCATTGGTGTACAATAAAAAAAACATTTCATTTTAAAAAGCTTTGGCTTTGTGGGTAAAAATTAAAATAACTATTAGCCGAAGCATTAAAAGTAATATTGGCTATATTATATTAATTATAAGCCGGCCCTACGTTGACAAGGTTCAGCTGTATGTATATAAATAATGTAGATATTGACTTGTTAGCACGATTTATGCAAATGTGATTTAAGCCGTGATTAAAATTAATAATATTGCGCTGCCACTCATATTAACAGATGATTAAATAATACAATCGAAAGATCCCGTAGATTTATTATTCTACAAAGAAAGGATTATCCATTAGGGGAGACCTAGGAGAGTTGTGACAATTTTTAAATAAGGGGCTCTAACTCGCTTAAGAAACATTCCACAGTTATGACTCATATGAATAAGTTTAGAGCCATTCCTTCTGTTTTCAAAACCATCAGTAAACTTAATTAAAGTATAATAGTTTCTGAAAAAAATAACAAAATTTAAGTCCACTCCCCTTGTCACAACTCTCCTACCACCGAGGTAAGTTGTGATAGGTACCGAGGTAAGTTGTGACATCATTATATTTAAGCTAATACCCGATTAAATTTATACTATTTTTATTTTCAGTCACAGCATGCGCCGGCTCTGCGCCGGAGCGCATTGTTGGAGGGACCGATACTACTATCGACAACTATCCCTCCCTGGTCCAAGTAGGCAATAGATTTTTAACCTTTTGGTATCAAAATTGCGGAGGGAGTATTTTGACAACACGCTATATCTTATCCGCCGCTCACTGCTTCGCAGGACTGTAAGTTGAGAAACGTTTCATTCAAATATAAAGTTTATTGCGTTACGCTAATGTGCTCGCGACTGTCAAAACGTGTCACATTTCCGCAGGCATCAAAACATGGTGGCCATTAAGTACATATATTGAATTATCACTATAATACATTTATTTCTCTTTCATTTTGTTTAATGGATAGTTTGCATTATATAAAGTTTTTTGATAAATAATCCAACCAGAACTATTGCTATTGCTATGTTAATAACACATTAGATTTTGATGGAACTGATCTAATGATAGAACGGGATGATGGCCTTGAAACGAAACGACACCATAATTTCTGCTCGTTGGAGTTATCTATCTTGGGAAATCTTCGGTCCGAGATAATATCCAGGGTCTTACAATTGACTTGGAACACAGCAATGGGAACATTGTAGAAAAAACAACTAATTTAGCAATGATTAATTTGTCTTAACAAGATTACAAGATCAATATCCACCACTAAACTTGTTACTACACTTCTAAATTCATCTGTAGATGACCCAGTTTTGGCCATTGTAAGATTATGACCGGCTATTATGACTCTTGAACACAATCTCAATGACAATTTCAATTCAATCCGGTTAAAATCTCGATTTTCATCAAATCTTAGCTACTCTACCTAGTACTCTTGAAACATAGATTCAACACTAACTTACTCACTGTTAACGTGTGTATTGGCAGCGAGAGGGTGATAAAAATACAAACGACGTTGTAGTTTACAATAATCATAATTACAATAATCATAGTTAATAAATTGTATAAAATGTATACTTATTTATAAGGAGTGCGTTGCACTTTTCACTATTGCTTTGATTTATAATACCTATTACAGGCGCTAGTGTATCAAATCAAGAGTACGAAATGTCACAATTGCAATCTGGATCAATCGCGATTGCGTTCAAGAGTAAGCTGGTTATGCTGGTTATGGCCGGCCATTTTAAAAGTTACGAGGAAGTTAACGCATCAAAGTTATCTACTTTATAGTAGTTTGTCATTAATTGGCCAAAAAGGGTCCTGTGGCTAAAACCGGGAGAAGCCCTACAGAATTAAACGAACTTACCGGTTTTGATGTTTTCCTATTCCAGCTTCTACTCCCCTATTAACAGACGCATCAGGGCTGGTAGTAGCTATCGCAACATCGGCGGTATCACCATCGGCGTAAAGCGTGCCATCAATCATCCCTCTTACGGACAGAATTACATGGATGGTGACATAAGTGTCGTGGAACTGCAGACGCCTCTGGTTTACGGACCAGGCATCCAACAAGCGACTATAATTGCCCCCGGGATAGAGCTACAGGACAATTTGCCCGTCGTCCTGGCTGGTTGGGGTACTATCGAAGTAAATATTCTGTTTCATCACAATAAGCTATCGCAGAACGTCTTCAGTGTTGCAATGATTGATGAGGTCTACAGTGCAGTTAGGTTAGATTTCACAAGATTATCGAACATAAAATGGGATACCAAAAATTAATGATCTTGAGATCCTTCATGATATGGAAGACACGTTAAAAGCCATCATCTACAGTAGCTAAGACTTACCAACCACTGGGCTCACGAAGGGTTTATGACCCGTTTTTCCTATTTGATTCCATTTACAGGGAAGGCCAATGTCCCATCCATCCATAAGTAAGCCTGTGGAGCTGTTAATAATTTTTTTATGTTGTTAATAGGCTGGTAACAATAATATGAAGTACAAAAATACTCTACCCAGTGTACTAACCTTTTTTTTTTTTTTTGACGTTGAGAAATGCGTTACGCATACCCGCTTCGCCCTGCGCGGGCTCCACGGGTGATGTGGGACTCCTCCTGTGGCCCCACCCCCAAAAGGGGGCTAGACAAGAAACAGAAGTTTACCCACTAAAACTCAGCGATGTCCCTCTCATGGTGGGCGAGGCGCGGGATCGGCCCGGAGGCCATACACCAGTGTACTAACCTAACCTAACCTAACCTTTATTATTATAGGAAGATGGACCAAGTTCACCAGTTCTTCAACACGTCACCGTCTTCACAATAAACCGAACCATATGCCGGCAGAAATATAATACAGAAGATGCAATAACTGACAACATGATCTGTGCTGGGATATCCGGCGTAGGCGGCAAGGATTCATGCCAAGGAGATTCCGGTGGGCCAATGTATTTTCAGAATATCGTCGCGGGCATTGTATCGTGGGGTTTTGGATGTGCACACCCAAATTTTCCTGGGCTGTACACCGCCGTGTCGTCTTACACAGAATGGATTGTCGAAACCGCTGTTTAAAGAAGAATGATGAAATTACTTAAATAAAAACTCTTGTTTGATAAGCTTTCATTATTACAAGGACATCTGTGAGTAATATGGATCGTTGGTAAATATATGTACTTATCATAAATTAATGGTATTCTCATTTATAACGCCACCTAGTGTAGTTAACAGAAACTAACCACTTGTTATGACGAGCGACGCATTCAGATGTTTGGTTCGACGACTACGAATAGATGTCGTAACAAACATATTTTTTCGAATTTTGATTTTGGTAAAAAAGAATTATTTTTCAAGTAATTCAAGCAATCTTTTTTTAAATAAATGAACAATAATAAATATTATATGAATTTGTTCTTGACAGTTCTTACTTCATTCAAATTTTCAGTTATTAGTTCAAAATATTTGATTAAGTAATTACATCCATGAGCATCGTAAAAAGTTTATATATGGAGAACGTATATGTGTATGTATGTTTAAAGAATAGTGTCGGTGATTTGAACCGTCACACCAAGTCCCTTCACTGTATCTGTCTGTCTGTCTGAACTCTAAGCGATGATCATGTTAATGATCTACCATATTTCCCAAAATTACCTTCTTAAAACAATAGTCGAAAAGACGGGAAAATTGCACATTATAATCACCTATGGCTCAAGTGTCACAATAATTGTGTACTAGAAAAGCAAATCATTTTAAACGACACACATAAGACCTAAGTATATTATCGAGATAAAAGTACTCCTGTGTTCGCATTTATATAGAAAGCATCATTAGTCTCTATCATTTACTATATTCATATAAGATTCATACATTAACAAAATGGCTTCCATTTTTCATAACACAGCAGGTTGTAATGCGGGCGCGTATACCAAACCATCACTACCTTTCAACGGCTTTTGTACAAAAATAACTTCCTGTAATTCAAAATTAAAAAAAGAACACATTTTATTTTTAAGGTCACAGAATTTATACAACTTTCTCGTTAGAAAAATCACAAAATCATCCTTAAAATTCATTATTTTACCCGACTGCAAAGAAGGGTTATGAGTTTCGCGAGCATCTTGTATGTATGTAATATTCTTTTTTACCTCATATCTTTAGAACTGCTGAACGGATTTAGATAATTGAAATATCGTTAGATTTGTCTTAGTAGCCCAAGTGTTCTTAGATAGGTAGCGTTAAAAAATACAATATGGCATCTGTATGACGCCATTATATTAAATTATATTTTTTCTTTATAATACTACAATATGGAGGTAGGTATCAAATTAAAGGGCTCAAGTACAAGGAATTCAAAAAGGTATATTATGATTATCATTTTCGTAATACTAATAAAAATAATACTATGAGAAACTTAAAACATATGCAACAAACATATGTATATAACGTTTTTTTTTTCTACTTTCTGAACCAACCTGATAATTTTTCTAACTAAAAAGAGATAAATAGTAAAATAAAATGAAATGTCGCAAAAATATTGCTACGGTAGCCTATTCTGGGTTAAAGTAATGCAAACATAGTATTAGACGGTCGACGGTTACTCCAAATAGGTTTTACTTTATTTTACTGTTTTTTCATCTATCGGCAACACAATATAAAAACTTATTTCTGTGTTATTAATTATTAATATGACGGCAACAACATCTGCCATTAGTATTAACAGAATTTCCCTTAAGATAAGAACTTATTTTTCATGTCAAATAAATGTCCAAAGATGACAATCTGTATTTCCAGCGAGAAAATGTATCGGAAAATAATATGGTTATTTTGCGTAGCTAAAATAAAATCAATATAATATTGATACTAAATTGAATAATAAAAATTGTCTTGCTTTAGTTTAAATGATTGAACATTAATAGTTTACACACTGCCATACTGCCCTAAAGTCTAGACCAAACCCAGCTAGGTTTTCCCGGGCAGCCGATCAATATATCCCACCTATCCCGGTTTCCCGCCACGCATGCGTCCGCCATTTTGTCAAACCACAGATACATAACGTCTATGGACCAACAAAAACAAAAGACAACTCGAAAAGTATTTACTATTGGGGTTTTATATCAATTTGTTTACTGAAAAATGAGTCCGGAGAGGGAGACTGAAGGTATGTACTGAAAATTAAAGACACTCTATAAGATAAAATCAGTGTATTGATCAAAATTTCCCAGAGAAAGTACCAAAATATGAGAGCATTTAATTTGATAAATTTATTATACTTTAAATTTAGTAATTTGTTTTTACATTACAATGTTACACTACATTTGTAAATTTGACTCTGAAGTGTAAATCTACTGTACATAGATTAAAGAGAGAGATAAAAAATTACAAGCGACCTGTTTTTTTTGCAGCATCAGAAGACATGTTAGAATCCATAGATGAACTAAAAGAACGACTGTCATCAATGAAACGCATGATGGAGGAAAGGAAAGCTGCCGGTTCGGGCACCAAAGACTTATTCCAGGGTCAAGCCAGAAGCCTCCAAGGGACAACCATGATCGACGGCAATTTTCTAAGCTTCGTTTTCGGAGGATCTTTGATAGTGATACTCAGTGTGTCCGTTTATGCCTTCTATAATTTATACCACGCAGTGTTAAAGAAGTTCCCGTCTACCCACACGGAGTTGTAATTTAAACTTTGAGTGAATAGATAGTCTGTGGTCCAGTTTTGATCGTGTGTAATGGGAATGGTTGATTCGAGAGTGCAACGCTAATAAAGTTTGAAGTCCCCTCATTTGTGTTTTATTATTGATTGATCGTGTTGGTTGCTTTTATATATTACATTTTATACATGTTTAACGATTACATACTATTAATATTGAGTATTATAAGAAGAACTTGACTTGTTGTAGCAGGACATATATATTTATTATATTACACGTCACATCAGTGTAGCGTTATCTAATTCCAAAGATAATAAACATAGAGAAATTCAGGATAGTTTGATTAGAATTTTATACTCACCCACACAATAAGGACTCAAATTAAGTAAATCCAACATCCAACGCTGGCCTTTTACTTGGCAGGAAATTGGGTTTTGAAAATTAAGTTCATCTGCCGTTAATCTGTGAAAAGATTTGCTTGATCCCTAGGGTGGACCCTCTAGTGTGATACGAATTAGTCTATATATTAATTGAGGCTTAGAATTACCCGTACACCAATTTAATCAAAATCCGTTCTGTAGTTTTTGCCTGAAAGTGTATCAAACATACACATGTCCTTTCGCATTTATGATATTTGTAGGAAGTAGGATTGTTATAATGGTATTCTTATGTGTATTCCTCCTCCTCACTCTAAACTGGGTGACGGCCGAAAACCGGTGCTTCACACATTTCAGGATGATTTTGACGGAACATGGGAGCAACTGTTGTCAGAACAGATGATGTCTTATCCAATTTATTCCTCCTTTTTCTTCAAGTAGAGCTGTTCTGTTATAAAAAAAATAGCGTCGAGCTTGAAGACGAAGCGCAGCATTATTATAGCATACTAGGGCAATAAAAGTTTTATTTTAAAGCTCTATACTGTGGTTCATTAAATCTCTAGACTGTGGTTCATCAATAATATTTTTAAACTCACACGATTTGTATACATTATAATTATATTCAATCGGGTCTTGTTCGTGCATTTTTTAAAACAATTAATTTATTTAACCTCGACATTTCGGCTACGTTACAGCAGCCGTGGTCACGAGGAGACTGGAGAACTGGCGGGTGTCGTCTTCTGATTTTAGTTGAGGGTAATCCGGTAATAATGTTTTTAACTGATTTTCAGATGTACCCTCCACTTGATTTTATTATACGTAAAGGTGGCGACACACTGCACTTACGGTATCCGAGAATATTGTTCGTGGTTGTTTGCGATCGCGACACTTATACATTTTTATAACCGGATTCCACGTTGGTGAGAGTTTATATCCACTTTCCCGGTTGAAATTGTTGTGTTTTTTGATTTCAACCGCTTCACGAACAATCCTTGGATAGTAATGTCGTTCAGTGGAAAGGACATGAGGTGTATGTAACTTGATCCAGTGGTTTGATCCAGATGATAATAAGTGCTCTGCAATCGCGGACTTCTCCACTTGACGATTTTTGACCGCTGCTATGTGTTCTCTTACACGTTCGGCGATAGTCCGCTTCGTTTGTCCGATATATGAACTACCGCAGCTGCAGTCAATTTTATAAACGCCAGGTTTTTGGTAAGGAATACTATCCTTTGGTGATCGCAATTGGTGTGACATTTTTGATAAAGGAGTAAAAATGGTGTCTATAGAAAAAAAATTCCTCAAAATGGAACCAATTTTGTCCGTTACCCCCCTTAACATAGCCTAAAAATGCCCGTTGCCTGGGAACCTTAGGTAGTCTTTCCTTACACCTTCGGATAGGGTATGACCTCCTTGTGCTGTATCCATTTTTCCTTAGCACGTCCTGTACATGGGACAACTCATCTGCTAAGAAGTCAGTATTACATAATGCGTTAGCCCTGTTAATAAGAGTTGTCTCCACAGAACGTAGGTGTTGAGGATGATGATGAGATGAAGCGTGGAGGTACTTGTCTGTGTGTGTTGGTTTCCTGTAGACAGTGTGTTTCAGGGACCCATCAGCTTGCGCCATGACTTTAACGTCCAGAAAGGGTAAGGTTTTGTCACTCTCTAACTCATAGGTGAACTTGAGATTCGGATGGATATTATTGACGTGTGTAAGGAACTGCTCAATCTCCGGTTTGTCGCCCTTCAATCAATCAATCAATCAATCAATCAATCATTTATTGCAAAAAATATGGTGTAACAGATGTCATAAAATAAGCGTATCACATATTTACTGTTTGACAGTGTGCAATAGTTTTAGTAGTTATATAAATTTACATTTTAATCTATTCATGCATTAACTATGATATTATTTTATTCGCACATCATTTACTTAAAAACATTTCATTTAGTTCCTATTACATATTATTTCAGTCTTATAGTTTAAAATTAAGTAATAGTAATAATGTCAAAATTCGAATCAATTTATATGTTACAAAAATAATAAGTCAAGTAAGCTTAATACATAAATCCATGTCAATTACAAAATAATTTTGTCATACACATTATAAAATATGTCATTGTATATAATTTATTTATAGTGTCGTTGTATATAATAATTTATTTATTTATAAGCGATTTTTACTCTACTAAAATTGCTTGCATTCCAAATATTCCTGTATCGAGTAAAATGATTTGTTCAGAAGCCACTCCGTCAAAGCTTTTTTAAAAATGTTTCTGTTAATCGGTAAGTCTACTAGTTTCGATGGAAGCTTGTTGAATATATTTATAGCCATATAATATACATTTTGTTTGAATAATGTCAAATTACATTTCGGAATAACAATTTTATTTTGTCTCGAACTTCGTGGGTCTTTTTTTATCTCTCTGACTTTAGTAAAATATTGTGGATATTTTTTTTACAAATAAACACAGTTCACAAATATAAATGCAAGGCAAAGGTAATATTTTTAATTCTTTAAACATAGGCTTACAGGAGTCACGTCTTTTTATACCACATATTGCTCGTATGCATTTTTTTTGAGCTATAAATAGTCTTTTCATATCCACGCTATTACCCCATATTATTACAGCATAACGTAGCAAGGACGACACGTATCCATGATATGCTTGTAAGGCTATATTTTTAGAAGCGATTATTCTGACTCTATAAAGTGCAAAAACGAATTTATCTATTTTTGTAGCTAAACTATCAATGTGATTTTTCCAGTGTAAATGTTCATCCAGAGTTATGCCTAAAAACCGCGCTGTACTTACTACGTCAATATTGGAATTTTTATAATGTATATTTAAGTTTATTCTTTTAGATTTAGCTGTATGAAATTGTATTATGTTAGTTTTTGATATGTTAATTTTTAAATTGTTTTTGTTTAGCCATTCTATTACATCGGAAATTGTGTTATTAATTTTGTTTTCTAGTTGGTCAATATTTTTATTTTGAAACAGTAGTGTACAGTAATCAGCAAATAAGAAACAGTCATTTGTGGTTATATCAGGGAGGTCATTGATGTATAGTAAGAAGAGTAAGGGTCCTAACATGCTGCCCTGTGGTACACCATTTTTTATATTTCGATAATTTGAACGAATGGTTTCTTTGATATTACTTTCCATTCTTATTATTTCTGTACACTGTTGTCTATTTCTCAAATAACTTTCGAACCATTTGTACGCTGAGCCTCTCATGCCATAGTCAAAAAGTTTTTTCATTAATATGTCATGATTCACACTATCAAAAGCCTTTGACATATCAAGAAATACTGCCACTACAGGGACTCTATTATTTAAAGATTCACTTACTTTTTTTAACAATTCAAAACAAGCTTGTATAGTAGACTTTCCTTCCTGAAATCCGAATTGATTATTATTGATTACACTATGTTTATTAATGAATGATTTTAACCTTTCAGCCATTACTTTCTCAAAGATTTTTGAAAATACTGGTATGAGTGTAATAGTCTTCAGGATACAGAACACATCGTCTACATACCGTTTCCACATACGGATCCCATGTGACTGGTAATCTATCAATGACTCGACATGTTCCATCCATATATTGGCCAAAAGTGGCACTACGGGGCTACCCATGGCGGCACCATCAATTTGAAGGTAATGTTTGCCGCGATATAGGAGATAGCTGCCATCTAAACAGTTCCGTAATAGAACCATGTACCCTTCCGGTATATCGTTTTGTCTAAGTTTCATCCTAACAACCTCTAGACAGTCCTTAACTGGAACTTTGGTGAACAGCGACTCAACATCAAAACTCACCATTACGTCATCCGGATCCAGTTTTGTATCATCAAGGATCTGTACAAAATGACGCGAGTCCTTCACAAAGGATGTTGTAGTGCCCACAAGCGGTTGCAGTACGGAAGCAACGTGTTTTGCCAAATAATAAGTAGGTGAGTCAATCTGACTCACAATCGGTCTCAGTGGAACGCTGGCCTTATGCACTTTTGGCAATCCGTATAATTTTGGTGGTTGTACTATCTTCGGCTTGTATAGGTTCTCGAAGATGTCCTCGGTGAAAAGGTGTTTATAATCCCTGATAACAGCACGTATTCTCCTTTTGCCGAAACGTCGCGGTAAAATAAATTAATTGTTTTAAAAAATGCACGAACAAGACCCGATTGAATATAATTATAATGTGGTTCATCAAACCTCTCTACAGGGCTACGTTCAACGTCGAGATCGAGGCAGTTTTTTTAATAGAATAGAATAGCTGGAGTTCATCATGGTGGCATTCTTTCGCCGTTTCTTTTCAATATGATGATGTGTCTATTCTTTAGAAACTCGGCATCAAAGAATGTCTATTCTCCATAGTACAAAGTTGGTCCCTTTAGACATGTTTGGCGACGGCGAGATGCCTCGTGGTGCTGGTAAAGGTGGCAGACACGAACCACGCGGAAGGCCACAGATGCACTGGGCTAACCAATGATCCTTTGTACGTGGAAACCAGCCGTTTGAGAGGAGAGGTCACGGGTAGTAAAGAGCTAAAAGATAAATAAGAGCACCAGGTCAGTGCACTTAAGGAGCTATGAAATATCAATTAATAACAACAAATTTTGCCTGACGTTTAATTACTAG